GTTTTATAGACATAGAACACTTTATACTGCTTTAGTAAAGTTGTACACTCTTGTTCATACCGATAATTTAACATATACGTATAAGACAAGGAAATGAATAATATATAAAATAAGGAAATGAATAAAAAAAGTAACTCCAAAACTTCATCAACAGTACCGACGCCGCTTAACCTTGCTCAGTTTTTCTGACAAACGTAAGATTAATAACTTAGAACATGAGTGAGTCGTCAAAATAAAGTGATTTATCGTTTTTTCTCGGTATAAAGAATCTATTTGCATGTGAAAATTACAAAAAGTTATTTTCATAACAAATAACTATTATTAAACATTCAACAATTAAACATTACCTTACAAAATCAAACATTCAAATGAGTCTAACTAGAACTTCAACAGAGGATAGACCAAATCTAATGTCATCAAACTTTGGTGCGATAAATATGTCAACAATAGGATGAACCTACTAGTATCAACCTATTCTCTTCTTTTACTAAAGGAAGTAGGAAATATTAATATAAATTTTTCCTACTTCCTTTAGTAAAAAAAAATTACATTTATATAAATCCTTCGAATATTATTTTCAAATTCTTTGATAACCACATATCCCATTTTTTACGTCATATCTGTCCAGTATTAATCAATGGTATTTTAATATTTGTATATAATATCATTCCTGTTAATATTTAATCTTACAAGTCTGATAATACTTATCTTATCCTTTCAACGAGCAATTCTTGTATATATATATATATAATCGGAATCTCGGAAACAGCTCCAACGATTTTCATTAAATTTAGTATGTGCGTAGATTCGGGAGCGAAAAATCGACCTAGCTAGGTTTCGTTTTTAGAAAATGTCCTTTTATCCCTGTTTTCAGGGAATGAAAAATATCATTCGAATATGACAGTAAATTTTGCCGCAAAAAAAATGTTATAATAGGTAGGTTACACACTTATTTTTTTACTTTTTTTTCTATACCAGATCATTTTCTTTATTTTTTATTTCCAAAATACATGATTTACCAACAAAAAAACCGAGCAAAGCTCGGTCCTCCAGGTACTAATATATTATCAATGAAATTAACTACAATCATAGTATGTGTATACGCAATTATCTTTTTATCAATTTTTTAATATTTCTTTGATAATATGTTCTTCGTTTAAAAACAGAGATATATCATATGCAGTATGCGCGTTTCAGAAAAATCTAGTTTTTTTTCTCGACCGAATCGCCCCTCGGCCTATTCCGCTCCACAAGCAGTGGCTATGGGCTAAACTATCATCCCCTTTTACTATTTCACTTTTTAATCATGAGGTGTTACATGTCCGGCCAACTCGAGTAGCACATCTGGCGCTAATCGCTAATGACGCGGACCAGCGCACCAGGAACAGTTTTCTCATTAAGCCCCGCCGAAGACAATCGACGCGAAGTTGCGACGAATCGCCGTCCAACAATAAAACGCAATCTTCCAGCGACATTGTTATTTTCAATAAGCTCTTATATGCGGGGATAATGAAAAAAGTTTTTATTACCGCAATACCCACTACGGCTTCCGTTCGGTTGGTTTTCGGGGAACTTTGCGCAATAAGTGGTGGGGTGAATTTTTCCTCTTACAAATTTAACTTGAGCGACAGACGTTTACGATCCGTGTTTAGTAGGCTGCTGATAAATACTAATTTAAAATTGAATGTTTGTAACTCCCCTTTTTTATGTGCGAAAGTGGCAAACGAGCTTCTCTGACGTTGTGATAACCGCCGCCCATGGAAATTTGCAACACCCGTAGGGTTGCAAATGTGTTGCCACCTTTAAATAAAGTAGGCCTCGGCTACCTCACTCACCAAACGAAATGCAGAAGTGTAACACTTCTACTTTACGCACTTTTCTATGAGTTTGTGGTAGTTACCTGGACGGACCTTTTTTTTTTGGTATCGGGGGCGGAATCTTCAAAAGATACCCTGTCACTTTACATGACAGGGTTATGTGGGTTTCTTACCCACTAAAACCCCCTCGGTGGCCGCCTTCTGTACATTTGGAGGGACTCCGGGATCTCCCATGGAACGCACCGGTGTCCCGGTACCACGCCTGAGCACGCCTCGGAGAAGGATAAACCCTCCCCGATCCCTACACCCTCTTGCAGCAACACGAGACCACTTCGTGCTGCTGCCCATCCGTGTCCCCTTTTAGTCGCCTTTTACGACAGGCAGGGGATACCTTAGCCCTATTCTATGAGCCCGGGACTACAGGGCTGACCTAGACGGACCAGCCCGTTCGTGCCACAGTGAATACTGCCACATGCTCCTACCATAGAATATACTACCAGCGATTCTAATAGGACACGGGAAACGTTAAATGAACTCAATTAATTCTTATAATAATTAAGTTATTAATAAGATTAACTTGATTGGAATAATACAAATATTGTTCACTACAGGGCTCACACACTGCCATGTTTGGGACTAATTGGCCTCGGTGATATGTCTACTTCGACGGGAAAAAATTTGCGAGACCATGATTAATTACTTTCATTGCTGTTTTGATGTGAAATAATGTTTGTCGTCAATGTCCCAAAAATAACCAATTTAAATTAGCTTCAGTTTATTGTGATTTGATTGGTCTGGTTTCCTGCCGTTATTCATAATCTTATTGGTGTGACGTGAAAGTTTCGGTTAGGATATTAAGATATAGCTGGTGACAATTTCGAATCTGGGTTTTCTCCACGTGAAATGAATCCAAGGAAAACGCTTTTACAACTGCAGTACTCAAATCTAGAGTAAGATACAAAGTAAGAGACAATTTTCGTAAAAAGGGTTACAAAGTTTTTGCTTCACGAATGAATGAATATGCAGATAAACGATTACACAGAATATGATTACATTCTCTTTGAAAGTAATATCCATTTCAATAGCGTATAAAATCTGGATGATGTTTGTTTGATGACTCCGTGGCGTTGTTCTCAAGGTATTGGCTTCGGCGTCGGGGGTCGTGGGTTCGATTCCCACACGGGACAACTATTTGTGTGGCCCACAGATAGTTGTTTCGCATCTGGGTGTTTGTCCGCGTGAAATTTATGTTTGTAAAATGTCCTTAGAACACAGGATAATGTCATCCTAAAGTAAGGGCAATGTTTTAAAAAAAAAAGTTAATTAAGAAAAGATAAAAAAAGAAAATATGTGAATGTTTTGCATCACTTGTAATAATTTTATTGATAAATTAAATATATTTTACAATTTGCATTCAAATATTCTGAATAAATAAATCAAGTACATTCTTTAAGAGAATTTATAAAGTATCCCGGGTGAAATTCGTTCCAGAAAAAGGTTCCGACATTCCTGTCACGCGCCAGCATTATGTATCGAAGTGTAATTATGCCCAGGTAATTATCCACCTGAGCTTCTTTGGCGGATCGTGATAAAACTCCTCAAGGTACATCGTGACGCTTTAAGGCTGTCTTAGTTAGCACATCGATACGGAAATCTTTTTAATTAGTGGTGGCTATAAAAATACGTTCTTGTTGTTCAGGCTTGGTGTATAGTATTGTTTGGTTTATATACGAGATATTGTGCGTAACTAAATAAGCGGAAGGTAAGTGGTCACCACAGCCATCGGTAACTAGGGCACTCCTGCCGATAACCTTCAGTGACCTCACTGACCATATGAAACGCAGTTCTTTACTAAGATAGCTCACAGAGTCATTAGCAGAAGCTGTAACTTTGATATAAAACAGTAAAAATAAGATAAATACGGACTTACGATTAATTACTGTACATTTACAGTAGATTGATAGCGACAGTTGATATTTATGTAATTATACTTATTTAATTGCTTAATTTTTACCGAGTTTAAAACCTCGAAACTTCTTTCAAAACATGGGTGTTCAGTATCATAGAACATGTTAGGTACGATAAAATGAAATGAAAAAAGAAAACTTATTAAAAGACCTCGATTATGAATTTTTATTTTAGCCATTACATTTTTATACACACTTATTTTTCCTTACTAGATTAGTAAATCAAAAATCAATTCAAATATATTTTTGGCTTGATTTGCACTTGGTAAACGTTAAGCAATTAACTGTCAACTGTCGCTATCAATCTACTGTAAATGTTTGATAGTTTAGAAAGGAGTTTTTTTTATTTTCACAACGTTCACGATAAAGACATTAAAGACATATATAAAATAATATTTTCAACGGATATTTTTAAGTAATATTGAAACAGTTTACATATTTTTTTCAAATTTATTTTATAAATGATCAAAAATTGTAAATTAATTAATGACAATGACGATAGTAACACGTATTTATTAAAGGACGAATGCCAATATAAAATAAAATCCTATTTGTTATCGAGTATTATAATGGACGTCAGACCAAAGCTAAGTAAATGTTACATTATAATGCTTTAGTGGGAGCTTTTTAGTTATTTTAATATTTTAATCCATCATAGTATAATAGAATATCGGAGTAAAACTAATCGATGACAACTTTATCAAATCCTTAATTTCAAGGTTTATAGTGTGAGCATTAAGTAGGAGATAGCAATCGAAATTAAAGAATGCATGCAGGGATTTTTATAATAAACCATTAGTTGGGAGTGTGCAGCTGGTTTCGAAACTAGCTGGAACAGTGAATGAGCTATCAATTTCGGTGCAGTGCACGGATTTAGTACTGATTGAAAAAACATTTGAACCACTATACAATACTAATGTAAATGAGAAGTGATTTCAGTAACTTTTGTATAACTAACTAACCACATAAAAATATAATTTTAGCCCACTGACTTCCGCATAATTAGCTGCCGTAGAGCAATAAACTTCAAATTATATGACCACAGTCTACAATAGATTGTTACAAAACATGTCGTAAGTGTGCAAACAAATTGAAATTGATATCGTGCCGAAGGGCGGCTTTTACATCGGTTTAATTGAATTTTTCGATTGGACTATCGTCATTTCATTAGTTATATACACGTGTGCGTTTATTTATCATTACATTACACTATCTAATCTACGGTGATGAGTCCGCACTCTCGCACCACTTGCTCCGTTGAAACTGGGTTCAGGAACACTGCAAGACATCAAACAATCAGACAAGTTGTTTCCATACAGCGCGGCAAATTTTCAACTGTTCCCTTCTACGAAGAGTTTTGAGATATGCACAACGAGCATATTGGCTTTAAAATGTGCGTAGCGGCGGTATTCACTTAACATCAGGTGAATCGTCTGCTCGTTTAACAACTTTTCGCATAAAATATATATATATATATATATATATATATATATATACATATATTTATATATACATATGTATACACATATATGTATATATATATATATATATATATATATATATATATATATAGATATATATATATATATATATATATATATATATACATATATTTAGGTTAGAAGGTGGCAAGCGAGCTAGCAGTTCACCTGAAGTTAAATGATAACAGCAGCCCATAAACGTTTGAAACTGCCGTAGGGTCAAAGATGCGTTGCCACCTTTCGATGAAATGAGCCCCGGTTAGCTCACTCACCAGACGAAACACAGAAGTGTAAGACTTCTACTTTACGCCGGTCTTCTGTGAGGTCGTCGTACTTCCTCGGACAGAACTGCCCATCCGTGCAACAGTGACTGTTGCGTAGGCCCTGACACAGTATTTTTTAAACGGACGATAAGTCGTAATGTACATGAGAGCTTTGTAAATGAAAGATGCCCAGGTAACACTTCTTGAAAAAGGATTTTAACGAAATTAAAATCCACAACAATTCTCAAATGCAACATTATTAATCCCGAATCCCTAACAATAGCCCCTACTTAATATTATAAATGTGAATGTAAGTTTGTTTGTTACGCTTTCACGCCAAAACTACTCAACTGGTTATCATAAAACTTTGTACACATATTCTTAGAGGAAATTTAAAAGACATAGGATTATTTTTATTAAAAAAAAGAAGTTATTTGTTTAAGGGCTTCAAGGCGAGCGAAGCCGCGGGCGAAAAGCTATTCCGATGAAAATGTGAAGGTTCCTGGACAGCAGAGCGTATTAAAATCTCACACTGAAAACTGCTGCTCTTTATTGTTCATTATGGTATCGTTATGTTTGTTAAACGAATAGTTTAATCTTACAAAAGTGCTTTTGTATAATACATTGCCCCATTTACTCTTTCCTTCATTGTATATGTATTTTTTGTTCGTATACAAATAAGGATTTTAGTTCGTTTAAGGAAAATCTACGGTAATGTCTAACTTGACTTATATAACAACGTAATATCTAAACGTATCACTCTACTTACTTGTACTACCTGTGAATAAGTCATGGTCCGGGAGAATACTCGCTGCGGCAATGGCAGCCTCGTCCAATACAATCACCTGCAAAATGTGAGAGAATTGAATATTCACGACATATAATACGTACCTATATAACGTAATTGACATAATGTACAGAAGCCCAATCTCTTGCGCCCGAGGGCCTAAGTTCAATCAAAATAAAGCCATAGACGAAGCCATGAACATAAGCGAAATACTGGATTGGATTAAACCACAAGAATTCGCGGCTTATAGACATTGGAGAAGTATCACTACTTTGCATCCGATCGGTACAGTTATTTGTAACCAAATTATAACTAGTTATTTGTTAAAATAAATATCGATCAACTTTTCGCTTGATAATTATTTTTTTTTTATAATGTGTAACGTTGCCACCATTGTAACGGCACCAAATCGTTTGCAACTACGTCATCACTTACAATTCTTACCCTTAAAGAAATGCTGCTATAATAATATTGTATGTTTATACATGTAGAGCCGTAATAGCTCAGTGTCCGGGCGCTCGCCTTTAATTCAATATACTCGAGCAACCTGAGTTCGATCCCCGGTGCCGGCACCAGTGAAGTTTTTAACTTTAAGAGTCTTATCACGTGCTCCGCGGTGAAGGAAAACATCGTGAGGAAACCTGCATATTTTCGAAATAATAAAAAAAAAATATTTCGAAGATATGTGAAGTTCGCCAATCCGCAGTGGGGCCGCGTGGTGGACTATGCCCTGATACCCTCTATATAGAGGAGGCCTTTGCGCAGCAGTGGGACATGTATAGGCTGTTACTTTACTTTACTTTATACATGTAGAAGCTGAAATACAATTCAAGTTTATGCAGCTCTCCGCATTGTATTATTACAACTGAGCAAACATAATTATAAAAAACGACATTAAAGCAACCTAATTGACTAGGCCTATTATACTGGGGAACAATACCGAGTTCAGTGGAAATTACTCTTTCTCTGCACTTGTATGCCTCATGGCTGCTGACCTTATGCTAATGTATATTGTTGCATTGCATCCGTACTAATATTATAAACGCGAAAATTTGTATGTATGGATGGATGTTTGTTACTCTTTCACGCAAACACTACTGAATGGATTTGAATAAAACTTTACAATAATATAGCTTATACGTCAGCATGAGACATAGGCTATAACTCATAAAGATATTGTGTAAATTTTCCAAAATACAGGTAATGATATGTGTCAACTAAGTAAGCCCGCGAGGAAGCCGCAGTTAACAGCTAGTAATATGTAAAGACCACTGAATTAGTGGTTATTTTCTGGATTGTGGTGTGTAATTTTTACTCTTGATAGTACACGTCATATTCTTACTTTTGAAAGTAAAAACTTCTCGACATTATTTTTGCCACGGTTTCATCTTTGACGACTCCATGTGCCCGGTTTCTATATTCAACGGACGGCCGTTAGTTACATAGCTTCCTAACTTTCATAACGACTTGTAGATTAAAGGAACGCCAGTAACTCACTTTCCGTGGGTAATGGCAACGGCTCGTAAGGAAAACGCCTCATTTTGTTAATATAGGAACCGGTCGTACACGCCTTTTATCTACAAGTCGTTATGAAAGTTACGAAGCTATATAAATGACGTGAAATTTATGTATGTAAAACGTCCATACAACACAGGATAATTTTAACATACAGTAAGGGCAATGTTTAAAAAGAAAAGAACGCAAAACAAGCAAAATTTTCGTTAAGTTCTTTTCCTAGAACTCTTGCGCCAAAGAGTGTGGGTTCGATCCTCACTACTGGAAAAATATTGTGTGCCTAACATAGTGTTTTTCCAGTGTCTGGGTGTTTATATATTTATAATATGTATTTATTCATAAAAGATAAGTATGTTTATCAGTTTTCCAGTATCCATAGTAAAAGCGTTGCTTAGTTTGAGACTAGAGAACGTTGTGTAAAAATGTGTCATAAATATTTATTATTATTATCGACTTTTGATAGACTCAACAATCGAAACATTCGTCACCTTGGGGCATTCGATCACTTGGATGTCGTGCACGACTTCAGTCCTCTTCTCCAATTCGCTGTTCCTCAACGGCAATAGGTCTATGGCATTCGCCGCGAGAGACCACAGATGGCCGGCGCCCTGGGGCGCCCTCGCGCCCTTCCGGAAGTGGGGGTTGATGGAGAGGTTGTGCCGTACAGAGTTCTTCCAGCGCTCGTCATTTGCTTTGTAGAAGGGGAAGCGATCACTGTGGAGAAAGCGACAAAGATCACGTTGACAACTTTTAAGGACGTAAAATGAAGCTTAAAAGTGGATTATTGAATTAATTTATCGTAATTTCTTTTGTCGAATTTAAATTATTTAAATTTTGATATTCCAAATTATCCTTTGTATAGTGTAGCCAAAACCGCTTGCAACATGATTCACATGTTCTTTCGACCTTACCTAGATGATGTAAGGAGAGGCGGATGATGATGACATGATAATTTCAAATAATTCTTTGTAAATCTTTGTCAACGTCTACAACGCCCTATTAATAAATAAATAAAAGTCATTCAGTCAACAAATAATTTAAATATATAAAATTGATTAGCAAAAACTGTATATTGTCGATAACATTATTGTTCTTATTGTCTTGCTAATGTTCCGTGGACTCTTTCCAGTTTGCATGTCATTTTTGTTTTTACCCATAGGATTATTAAAAAGATAAGTCACTCGTTTTAGAATGTTAAAAATATTAGTAGATTTTTTTTTTCTTTCCGGGAAAATGGTATATATGATAGCATAAGCAAAAGGGGCACTATAAATGTGAAATAAAAATATTAATCGTGTAAAAAAAGAATATAAAAAAACAAAACTGGAAGGGGTTAATATGAGTTGGCGGTTTAAATAATGTGCTCAATCAATAAATTCCAAAATTTCCAACTGAAAACCTTGTTGATCATGATTTAAGTACGAGGCGTATAAATGTATAAAATTATAGATAAATATAAAACACTAATTACATAAGAATATTTAACCATAGAATTTTATTACTTGTAGTATGGATGTAATGTGAAAAATCTATACGAATGCAAGTTACATCGATGGCGGAACGCGAAAATAGGTATTAAAAGCGAAATCCTGTCGGATTGTAAACGGGTTCCCAGATAACAGACGGCGCGTTCACGCTGACGATATTAGCGCAGGGACGTCGGACATTTCGGCTGAAACCGAAATAGGAAGGACTCTGGCGCCCCCCGCATCGCAGCGCTGCATCGATCGGTGCCAGGCGGAGACGGGAGCGGAGCTTAGTCGCCCCGGCTTGATGACAGCACGCCAAGGGGCTGACGTGACGTGACGTGCAAATGCATTAGCGCGTAACAGAGCCGAGTGACAACCAGTTAAATCTAGATTCTGTGTAGGTGTTTACTTCTGCCTTCGGCCTAAGCTCAAATACGAGTGTGATCTGTATTTACACACACAAATGAATGTTGTAGTACGTATGTGAGGGACACAACAAAGTTGTGTAAGTACCGCAGTATCGGGTCATAGTTTATATCCGTGTGCACAACTTCTAAAAACATTTTTTATTTTACATTTTATGCTCTATTTACACAACATAATGAAGATCCTTGTCAATGAACTTGATATGAGAAATAAATAAAACATATTTTTTTATGTGAGAAGGTGGTAAGAAAGGGCTGCAGATGCGACGCTACCTAATGATAAAGCGGGCCTTGCCTTATCTTATATTATAAACACATTATATTTACGAGTATATTAAAATAATGTATGCTAGTGTTCCAAACGTATTGCTCTCATTTTTTAAAACTGCCCTCTCGTTGACCGCGGAATCCTATTCAAGTACCCCAGCCCAATTTGTACAGAACCAACCTTGGCCACCACTCCATCCTACCTCGCCTAATCAGGCTATACCAAGAATTTTCAAGGAGAGACAATTCCGTCGATTGCTTCTCCGATAATTTAAATAATATTAAAGTTAAAACATTAAAATTATTAACACAGTAGTGAAAGACAATTGATTTGGCACTTAGAATAACTTACTTATTTTATTTTTTGTTGTTTATAATACTTTTTAACATTTGTGTTACTCTTTAGTTAGATTAGTCAAAAACGATTATACCATGAGTACGACAAATACTCGCGTTGAATGCTGTGACTACCTATAATTGAGATTACATGTAAATTGTTGCCATATAATTTTTGTTTATTTAACTCTGTGTACATGTAATTTTGTTGGTAATCCAAAATAAATAAATAAATAAAGTAAAGGATATTTTGTTTAATTGTTATCAATAGATTATAGTTAGCATAACTTTCACATTTAAATCACAAAGCGAAATTTTCACCAATGTTTGTAAAATTACCACAGAAAACGTTTTAATCTTCTGATTAAATATATTTGTCCTATAATGTCAATGGAGTGCGCAATGTACGCAAAGTTGACAAGGTCCTAATGTCCTTTGTAATTCAAGCAATTTATATTAATGTAAATAGAATTCCTTGAAAAAGCTTTATTTTCATATTAATAGGCATACTCGAAGCAGTTTATTGCATAAACGTCTAGAATTTTGGTAATGATTTATAATGCGGTGATTCTAAAGAGATAGTTGAACATAGAAAACCATTCAATTGATCCAAAACTTACATGAAATGTTAATTTTTTTATCCTCATTCACTACGATGATTTCAATTGTAATTAAAATATTCAAATGAATGTTATCTAATGTAATATTTCACTTGTCACGTTAACACCAAGCGAGCCCTCCGACTCTTTATAAGGTTTTGTAAACAGATAAACGCCTACATGAATCACTTTACACGGCGTGGTAATTTCGAATGATAATAATTTAATAACATTGCACCCCTGTGTTCACGCACCGATAAACAACCCAATCCCAATGTTTGGGCACGACAGCCGAGGTTGATAGCATGATGCCATTTATCACCATAACATTACTGATTACCTTGTAATAACCGTACAAAAGATTAAAACTTTTACTGCGATCATTGTGCGAACATTGTTAAAAATTCCGCTTAGTGATTTAAACCCACACAGGGTTATACAAACTATAATCTATTGATAACTATAAAAAAAAGTAAAATATCTTTTAGTGAGGGCTACACGTCTAAAACAATAAAGCATTCATTATTAAATTAAGGTAAACATCTGACTGTATTAAATATCTTATAACCTGCCCTTTAAATTTTAGAGTTCCGTAACACAAAAGATAAAAAACGGAACCCTTATAAGTTCACTCCCTTGTTTTTTTTTTTTGGACAACATAAATAATACACGCCCAAAACTGAGACGACTCTATACTCTATGACATCCTTTATATTAAACTCCGTCAAAACTTGGGCTGGATAGCGTTCGTATTATTTTATGTGAGTTTTTAACCCGTTGTTAAGTGCTAACCGCCGCCCATGGACATTTGCAACACAAGTGGGGTTGCAGATGCTTACCATTTATTAGTGGGCTAGGGTCCCAGTTAGCTCACTCATCGTAATTCCCCGTACGGACCTGCCCATTCGTGCAACAGTGAAGACTTCGCTTGGCCCTATCACAGTTATAAATGTATGTATGTAATATGTATACATACATATGGATACATATGGATAATAATACATATGGTGACTAATTACAGAGTGGATAAAAATGTTCACATTTACAAATCGAGTAATGTCAACCTAATAGATAAGAAGGATAATTTGCCTACGAGCTGTGATTCAAATTCAATAGGAAAATTTTATATACTGTTAGTGACTAAACTACTTTTGTACAGTGACGAAACTTTCTACAAGTTTATTCCCTTAAAGTTAAAGTAGTATGATATTGTCCTGTAAAATTGACTTACCTCAATCTTACACCGTGTACCATAAGTTCCGCTGTGGTTTTAATATATGCCGGTATATAACCATTTAAGCGATTCAAATCCGCCAATATTTTTTTTACGTTAGTATTTGTCCAGCGGGCAGGTGGTTAACTTGATGTTAATTGATTACCCCTACACAGAAATCTACCACAGCTGAGAGACTGGAGATGCGTTAACAACTCTTAGAACAAAGTGAGCCCCGGCTTCCTCACTCACCAGACGAAACGCGAAAGCTTAATACTTCCACCTCACCCTAGTCTTCAATGCGCATCTTTCACAAATTTTCTTTATTATGAAGTGAATTAAAAAAGAAATTCTTCTTCTTCTTTTCTTTTTTGGCGGTTTTCAATGAATACGCCAATGAACACTTCTGGTTGTTTATTTTTGCCTAACTTTTATAATGAAATGATGAAGAGAATGATTTTATCGAAATTAGTGTTATTTATTTTAAAAATGTATTTGATAACGACAGTTCTTGTGAGTTGACTGAAATGAAATGTTTTGATACAGAAATTTAAACTTATGTCATATACGGTCACTGAAATGACGAATGTGCAATCTACATCTTCCTGTTGCAGACGTTATGTTTATATATGAACATGTAAGAATATACCGATGACACAGCATACGGCTTTCACAGAGCGCCGAGTTAACAAAGAGCGCATTTGGCGTACGAACGACACAACGATAATAAGATTTCGTTTGCCCCTTTGTTAGATTAATTCGAAGCTCGCACGGGTTCCGCCCGTTCTTTGTGTTTAGCGTACACAATATGGCGGGAGGGTGTTAATGAATGTTATTGTACATTTGCAATAGTCACGATGTGTTTAGTGGCCGTGTTATATAATGTCACTGAAGTTCAGAAATTAAGCTGAGCTAAGGACACGCAGGCGCCACCCGCTGTTGCACGAATGGGCAGTACCGTAATGGTTGCACGAATGAGCAGTACCGTAATGGTAAGTATCACGACAGCACAGAATGAAGGCGTGAAGTGGGAATGTCACACTTCTGCGTTTCCCCTGGTGAGTTAGGTAGCCGGGTCCCTCTTTATTGAAAGGTGGCAACGCATCTGCAACCCTAAGGGTGTTGCAAATGTCCACGGGTGGCGGTTATCACTTAACAACCGATAACTTTCCACCTTCTCACATAAAAAGGCGCACAAGCTCACAGAAGACCGGGAGAAGTGAAAGTATTCTAATTTTTGTTTTGTCTAGTAAGGGTGTTCCCCTGTGTTTTTTGTGTTCCCTTATGTGCTAACAGACTCATAGTCTCACAAGTGAGTGTAAGATTTCTGTATATAGATATAAAGAAATCGAAACGGAATTAAAGATCGATTCAACAAAAATGTACTAATGCTTTATTGCGCGATAATTGCTATTATGTAATAACGCGTAAAACCCATAAAATTTAAAACTTTTCCGTAAATTTAAAATTTTATCGGTTTTACGGTATTGGTTTACTCTCAACAATTTATTTTTTCGAACCATCGTTGTTTGCAGTAGTTATATCGATATAAACGTAATTCCATGACCATCGTGTTTACACGTCTTGATCGTGGCAACATAGATTAGTGAACCATCTGAATATTCAACCTTTTGTTACATACGAAGAAGCAGGATGGGAGCACGCTGCCACACCTCACTTATTGGAAAAGTAGAAGCAGATCAGGGTGATCTAGTGGTTACAAACTTTAACTTGCTCTCGCGTTCTATCAGTTCGTTCAACATTATTCGCTGTACTTCTAAGTACCGTACCTGTTAAGACACACGCCCTTTGAGTTGCCCTTTATTTTCAAAACAGCCTGTATATTGTTCCCAACTGTTATCTTTTTTCTGTCCTAAATTATATTTAATGTTACCCTAATTATGTCCAGATTATAAGTCGGCAACGAATCACCATTCTCGATTAGTAAATAGTTTTTCAGGCTAACGTGGACCTGACAAGGCTGGTGACTTAAAATTGATTGTGTACCCTTAGAAGATTTGATGTGTTCTAGAAGCGTTACACTTGCAGAAATAACGCATTGGCACAACGTAATATAAACACTTAAACAGACCGAGCTATTTTATACCGAGTGAGCCGGCTGGGTCCTCCCGCTGTATAAGCGTCCATCAGGGTTTGAACCTACGCACCTGCTTGCTCAATCATGCATGACGGCTATATTACTACATCATAGGGTAGCGTTTGTGACGATAGATTAATTTTAACATTACGAAATATCTATATATTTCTATGGAAGAGACAATCAAGGTGGTATCGATAATATGTAATGCACTGGTGTAAGCGGCATGAATATTTTGCTGTTTTGTTCTTTAAATTATAATTAATCGTTTGAAAAGTCTTTGGCATTCTTTTTAAAACGGACCATAAACCTTCCGAAGACATGTATTTATGAAGAGTAATGCGATAAAAAGCAATTATTTTTAGACAAATAATTTTGTTGAACTTCCCCTTCTCTTATTATACGGCTTTACACAAATATTTTCATTAACCTCGCTCCGGTAATCGGCCAAAATTATGAAAGCTCGGCTAATAACCGCTTAGCATTATAAAAAGATAGAGAGAAAGAGATAAAACATTTTCGTAATCATTCAATTAACCGTGTACTTCCATGGCTGTAATTTTAAACAAGCAATTAGGCCGTAGCAGTAAAGTGTTAGTAAGAAACAACTCACGAGATCCACTGGTAGATGGCGGACACAGTCAACTCCCCCTTGTCTCGTAAAGCCCTCTCTATAAGCTCGGGGTAGGTGAAAGGGGGCTTTCTCGTCACCGGAGCCTTATCGGGCAGTATGTACTTAGGCTCCTCCGGCACTTCGACGTCGTCGTCTGGCACTTTCACATTGACGATTTCATCCAGCCTGAAGTTGAGGAGCCAGGCGAGGCTCGCGCAATCGTTGTCCTCGACCGGAGACTTCGAAAACTTCCTCCTCCTCCATTTCGATTTGTCGTTCAGTTTAGCGGACATGTCTGTCTAGCTGAGCGATGGAACGCCACTGGCTTTGCTTTTTCTACGCGCACCCGCCGTGCCAGCCGGTGCTATCTCCGCACCGGCACAGATATTTTTCCTCCGCCCCAACGTATGCGGCCTGCATGGTGTGCGGTTTTAAATGGCCTATCAATCAACGTTTAAAAGGCGCTTTGATTCGATTAATAGATTTATTATTTTTGACTTTTTTAATTAATTTTAGATTTTTAAAATTATATTTGTTTAAATAAAATTGTAGAACCTCTTTCTCTCAAGACTTCATCAGAGAATAGTTTTTTTGCATTACTTGCATGAGAGTGAAAACTCACTGAATATTTACGGTGTTTTATTTACGGCCCTTTAGACTTAATATTTTAACGGTGGTAGGGCCAAGCAACAGCCTTGGCTGTTGCGCGAATGGGCAGGCCCGTCCGGGTAAGTACTACGACCTCACAGAAGACCAGCTTAAAGTGGAAGTATGACAAATACTTTCGCGTTTCGTCTGGTGAGTTTTTTTATTTATTTTTTTTATTTTTCGCATATAAAAAAAAGAATATACTCAAAATTGCTCGTCAATATATTTTCCTTTTAACGGAATTGTAACATTTATTATGAAACATAAATTATGCTGCTTTGCCGGTGAATTAATTTCGTTTATCTTAAATGAGAAATACAAATACAAATACAAATTCAATAAACATTAATTCAATAAACGCCGTTACATTGCCTCCGTGGTAATTTTTTTTCATTACGCATAATGCGAACCTCATTTGCAATCATACTTCTACGCGGAAATTAATCTTGGAATAAATCCCGCAACTCGGTTCGCGTGAATCTAGTTGCCGTATTGTAATAAAAATGTATATTGTGCCCTTTAGATGCATACTTATCACAAGAAAAATCATAGCTATAGTGAGGTATTGTTAAAATTAAAACATCGATGCATTTATAGAGTTCCGTACCAAAAGGGTCTTTCTGTCCGTCTGTCACCAAGCTGTATCTCACGAACCGCGATAGTTATACAGTTGAAATTTTCACAGATGATGTGTATTTCTGTTGCCGCTATAACAACAAATAAAACAGGATAAAAACATTAAGTGGGGCTCCCATAACAGACATGATTTTTTGCCGTTTTCATAGATAATGCTACGGAACGACACGCACTTGGCGAGTTTTTCTTTATGCTTTACCTGGGAAACATTGAAAATGGATCCTCCTGATTTGTAAGGAACGCGAGAGATTTTACGGTGGTAGGGCCACGCAGCAGCTTCGGGTGTTGGACGAATGGGCAGGCCCGTCCGGGTAAGTACCACGACCTCACAGAAGATCAGCGTAAAGTGAAAGTATGACAAATACTTTCGCGTTTCGTCTGGTGAGTGAGGTAGCCGGAGCCCAATTTTCAAAAGGTTGTCAACGCATCTGTAACCCTCAGGTGTGGCAGATGTCCATGGTCGGCGGTATTCACTTAACATCAGGTGAACCGTCTGCTCGTTTGACAACTTTTCGCATTAAAAAAAAAAGAGTCTGGTGGGATTAAATTTATGACTGAATCTATTACCGCTGTTAATTATGCTACGAAATAAATGATATCAAATGTTTTTAACGTGTATTTTTATCTTTAATTTAATATGATCTAAAAAATAATGTTTATTTATTTATTATTTATTTATTTACACACTTTTTTGTACTAACTGGTACAAACGGCGGGCTTAATGCCATAAGGCATTTTCTACCAGCCAACGGGAAAGTTAGTGAAAGAGAAGTGTAGGTGCTAGCTATATAAGGATTTTATAATATGTATACATACATTATGATAACAATTATTAACTTACAACAATAAATATATATATATATATATATATATATATATATATATATATATATATATATATATATATATACGTACATAAAACGGAAATATCTATCAAACGTTATCCATACTACTGATCATAAGACGACGAATTAAAATAAATTTATTCGGTGATTTTCGAATTTCACGAGGAAGGGCGTTCCAGAGTCGAGCAGCTGTAACAGCGAAGGATTTAGAGAGAAAACCGGTACTGTGAGAAGGAATAAGCAACGTAAGATTAGCAGCAGATCGAAGATTGCAGCAATGAGAGGTACCCAGGTACTGAAATTTAGACTTCAGATACGCTGGGGCAAAAGGATCGTTAATGATACTATAAAGCGTACAGAGGATCCGAAGATTCCTCCGTTGGGAAATATTCAACCAGTTTAGTTGAGAGCGATATGATGAAATATGGTCAAACTTTCGAACACCATAAATGAAGCGAATACATTGATTAAGGAGGCGATCCAATTTGCTAAGAACCTCCATGTTTGCATTTGAGTAACACACATCAGCGTAATCGAGATGTGGAAGTATAAGTGATTGAACTAAAAGTTTTTAAGTATAAGGTGGTAAGAAATTTTTAAATCTATATAATTGTCTCAAGTTTGAATAAACTTTACTGCTGACTTCATTAACTTGCGCTCGCCAGCTGAGCGAGGAATCAATAGTTAACCCAAGATTCTTGACTTTTGGTGAAAAGGGAATGACTTGATCATTGTACATCACGGGCATCACGCAATTATAATCTATTTTGCATAACTTTCTTATATTTATAACTATGCATAAAGCTTATTTTACTTCCCTTTTATATTAATATTTATAAAATTTTATTTATTTATTTATATATTTATTGTACACAAAAGACAGGATACAAAAAAAAATATGAAAATCAAAATAATGTACAAAAGGTAAGCTTAACTCAATATGTGAGTTCTCTGCCAGCTAACCTGGTGAGAAAATAGGTGATTGAAGGTAGCTGGAAATGTGTTCAGTGCACCCAGATACTCCTATATATAAATTACCCTATATATATATATATATATATATATATATATATATATACATAATATACATACACATATATACACAAATATATACATAAATATATTTATAAGTAAATACATATATACGTAACATACATATAATATATAGTAAATAAAGATAGAAGATAATAACAAGAAATATATAGACACGAATTAAAATACGTTATGCGGATAAATAGAATTCCTTAGCTCTATTCTTGAAGACATCCGATGAGGGGCTGCCACGGACATTGTACGGTAACAAATTCCAAAGACGCCCCGCGTGCACTGTAAAAGAGCCGCCAAAACAGGAAGAGGAGTGCGAAGGTAATTTTAAAAGAAGGTATCTGATCTCATGACCACGCGGCACCATGTACTCAAAACGCTCTCGGAGGTACTGAGGAGCCGCAGGATTATTGAGAATGGAGTAAAGTGTGGATACCACATGCAAATCACGACGGCGACGTATAGGTAACCATTTCTACTGGGATCGGAAGCTAGAGATGTGATCGTATTTACGCAGCCCGAAAATGAACCGTATACACATATTTTGTAAGCGTTCCAATTTGTTTAGCAGCAACTCCGCAGCATCCAAGTAGCATACGTCCGCGTAATCAAGATAAGGTAGAAGAAGTGACTGGGCTAGTGTAATTTTCGTTTTGAAGGGCAAGAACTTTTGGAGACGCCTGAGAGAATGAAGCGAGTAATGTATCTTCCTGCTCACTTCATTGATGTGATTGGTCCAGGATAGCTTGCTATCAAATAAGATGCCAAGGTTTTTAGCACACGAAGAGTATTGAATACTAACACCATCGTAGTATACCGTTGGCATGTTAATGGCATTAATGAGATTGAGCATATACGTGCTGCCAAAAATAACCGCTTGCGACTTTGCTGGATTAACTAGAAGTCCAAATGATTTTGCCCAATTACAAATTTTAGTGAGATCATCGTTTACTCCCGATATGGCCTCATGCATCTCGCATACCTAAAAATGGTAAATAAAAAAAAAAAAAAATATTTATAAATTTTACGTCCCTTGCTGAAAATACGATAAGCTTTTGATAAATCAAATGATTCCGCGTCAGTTCATTTGTACCATTGTTTATTTGCCTTAAGGTATGAACGATAATACTCGTATCAACCGTACAAGGGCGGCTAGTCTGAATACACCATGAAATTTACATCCAAAGACTTATTTATTGAGCACCTCTCGTCATCTTACGCACTCCATGCAGAAATTAATTCTATATCAATTATTATTATCATTCTGTTTTATATTGATAATATTCAATACTGAGTATCTAATAACAATAAAATAAAAAACATATATTTTTAAATATAACGTGCAAGCTCCCGAATTAGTGCAATCAAACAATCCTTCAGATTGATTTAATTGGTATAGATTCAAATAAATAACTTAGCCTAGCATTCAATAGGTTAAGTACAATAATAATTTATTCGTAAAAATCATTAGGTTTCGAATTCAAAAGCTTTTGAACGCAATTTCCACATCCGATCCAATAAACGACTATTGCCTAAACTTTACATAGAAATTACAAGCATGCATACATTTTTACCTTTTTTCATCAAACGCACCCATTATAGCAATCCGCATTTGGATTTACAACCTCTGGCCCTAAAGCTCAGCAATTAAACACGATAACACAATTTCTAGAATTTATGTTCATGATATATATTGCACTGTTGAAGCAGTTTCTAGTTACGAAATTGTTTTCACACCTCAGACCACATTAATCATCTAAATTCGTAATATTTTCATTTATCTCTAGTGATGCTGCACTGCTATCCATTCAGATACACATTTATTAAAACTGGTATGATTTATAGGTTTTCAATGGCAAGTTTTGTGCTTTTATCGATTTTTGTTAAAAAAGTCAGTTCCTAGTTTGTGCAAGTAGTGTTAAGCTGGGTTCAATAAAAAACATCTATTTCGAATACAGGTTATGTTGAATGATAGGGCCTAGTTTCTAGCACATTTTATAATAATATATATTACAAGTTAAGTTACCGGATTTGCTCACAACGTGGTCGTGGATTTGAAGATTCATTTACAAACCCTTCAGCTCTATAACGTAGACGGGCTTTAGATGTTGGGTGGCGGC